TCTTATTCTTAATACAATGAAAACACAATGTTCCACTCATTTCCCAGATAATATAATAGACAATACTGACATGAATATAAAATTTTGACCTCACTCACTGTAAGATTGGTAAATGAAAATGATTTTGGTCTGAAAGAGAGAAATTTGTATCTAAATCTGCAACAATGACAATTTGAAAAACTGCCTAAGTGTATTGAGTATATTGGTTAAAATGTCATTTTTTATATAAGTTGACTTCACTATAAATCTGTTTTTTAAAATAAAACATTTAATTGGCAGGCAAGTAAATTAGAAAGCTGAGCTGTTTCCTTGTAGAGGGGAAAAAAAAAAAGTAAAAATTAAACATTTTATCAACATCCACTGATAAACATTCCAAAGAGTCATTTGTGTGAAACTGTTTACTGTACCTAAGATGTCACACAGTCTCCCCAGCTGCATGTTCTGCAGTGTGTCGAAATCGGCAATATGTTCTCGCACAGGCTGGGGATATCCTAAAAGGCAAACAAGGTGTCAAGTCCCAGAAAGAGCAAGTCAATATAGCAAAATGGCATATGAGAACTTCGAAATGTCACAGTCTGCATTTCCAGGAAAAAATTTTCTCTGAAGCATCTTGCAGAAACAACCCAACTCCTTAGAATGATGTCCTTGCTTCTCAGGGGAATTTATTAAGCATTATTCTGGAAGATATGCTAAGCAGCACATTCTGCAACAGAGAGGTTCATATTTTTCAATACCAGCAAAGCAGCTGAGAATCAAGGTTACAAAAACACGGAGAAATTTTCTGACATTTAACATGGATATTTAAAATGACATGTAAGAAAATTATGCTCAGGTTAAAAAAATTGTTTTGGCTTTTTAACTTGTGCTTCCTGTGTGGCATTTTGAAGATGTGTCCCAGAATCATTCTAAATTGACACACAGATTTCAGATAAACCCTCTTGCTGTCAGGAGCATGTATTTAAATAATTCTAATACTGAAGAAATAGGCTTCTGCTCACAGTCAAAAAGAACTTTTAACCTTCAAAAGGCAAGAAAGGTTAATGCAGTTACTTTGTCAGTACTAATAAAAGTCCTGCAGTTTGCCTTCCCTCCCACTGAAAACAGAGCAGAACGAAAACATATATAGATTACTGTTGTCCAAAAATTTTCCACAAAAGAAACAACAGTAGCAACACTTTCTGCTGATATTTCAGGTCTTTCTAAAATGTGGATCAAAACACAAACTTAAAAGGCTTGCATACTCACAAGCAGTTGTAATTGCTTACATGAAATTCAGCAACTATAGGTGCAACTTTTTTCCTTTATAAAATTGCTTTTCACATTTTGAAGAGATGCTTCAATGCCTCCTTGTGGTTAGTGAGCCCAAACACATGTTTCAAGTTAAACTGCTATAGATAAAGTGATTTTATATACTACATCTTCAAGATGTGACACAGATTTCCTTTCAGCATAAGGAAAACTATAGCAATTCAGGCAACGGGGCTTCAGACCAAATGAACCCTGATAATTAGTTCTTTGCTTTGATGTCAGTGTTTAAACACTAGACAACGTCTGGAAATTAAATGAGTTTCTAATTCATCTAAAAGTCTCACTTTTGCTTTATGCATATGGACTTAAGAATTAAAGAGGTAGAAGGACAAATGGGCCGTTAGAGTCATTTTTGAAAAATTATCAATCTCTCAAATAATTTAGAGAACCACTCCACATATAAAAGCTAATATAGACAGTTACAATTCCAATGCTGTCTTTATGTGTGATTGCAATATTGTAACTCTTCAGATTCTGCATATGTATAATTCTATCTATATTCAGATAAATGTTTATAAAGATGTATTGTGAATAAGTTATATAGCAAGACTATAAAAAGGCAGGGGAAATGACTAAAGAATAAAGTATGATTAAGAAAAGTGCCTGAGAGCATCCCAAGAATGCATTTCCTTTCAAAAGTAAAGATAAAAGGCAGTAGAAGATGTCTCATTAAGATGATGTCCAATTTAAAATATAAAAGATGTCTGATCACTTTGTTGCCGTATATGCAGCATGTGAGTGAATGAGTCTGTGTTTTATTCAAATGCTTGAGGTCAGTTTTCCAACAAATTACTTGGTACCTCTGTTACCACTGATCAAGGATGCATATAAAATGTCTACATCGAATTATGAAGAACTGGATACTCAGTTAGCCCTACAAATAGACCCACTTTAAAGAAGTGTATGTTAACCTCAAAACATTGTTACAGAGGATCATATGCAGTAACAGATACAAACACATTTTGTAAACTGTAAAGAGTTGTATAAACATAAGGTTTTTAATGTTACAATGTTTTAATGTGTACTTCCCAAAGCACAAAACAACAACAGCAATTCTGTGACAAGCAACAGAGCATTCTGGACAAGATACAATGTAACATACATTATCATCAACAGAACAGAAGTTGGGAGTCAGTTTTTTTAAAAGTCAGGTTTATTCCAATGTTCTGTATATTCACAAGATACATGGGTTGATGCGCAGGTGAAAAGACCTCATCGGTGCTGGCGGCATATATCAAATATAGTAGTGACTTAACCAGGAAACCATCAACAAGGATGTTGTGGCTTTGGGGAGTTCCGCAGACATGCCCAGTGTCAATGAGACATCACACTTTGGAACATCATCTACGAAGATGTGGTTTTTTCCAAACGTCAGACTAGGAAAACTGGGGGAGTTTTGAGAGACTATCAGCCTCAATTCTGTCATGTTATAGATAAGGAAACTCAGGGTAAGTGCCTTGTCTCTTGTCCAAGATCACAGAAATCTATATAATTATTATATATTAATAGTTCAGATACTATCAATACATATTTAGCTCTTGTGAGAAATTTAGTCACATAAAATAAAAGAGAAGACTCACCAAACGTGAGCAGAAAAGAACTCCAGAAGGGATGAAGAGTTTTGGCTGTTTCCTAACTTTTATTTTTAAGTGTTGTGGTAGACTGAATAACGGCCCTCCAGAATGTCCATGCCCTGATCCCCAGAAACTGTGACTACGCTAGCTTACATGGCCGAGGGGACATGAAGTTGCAAATGGAATGAAGGTTGCTAGTCAGCTGACCTTAAAATAGGATCACCTGGCCAGGCCTGGTGTAATCATAAAGGTCCTTCGAAGTGGAAGGAGGAGGAAGAAGAGTAGAGTTGACAGGCCATGATGGCCATGAGGTGTGCCTGAACCCCCTTTTCTAAGAGGGTCCTTGGTCTTCCCTCACGGTCATTCTCTCGCACCCTTTCTTTACTACCCTTTTCTCGTTTTGTTATTACACGTTTCCTGGCTCGTCTGTCTACTTCCGTTGTCCACCTCTCCTCTCCCTGCGCCGCTCCAGCTCCTGTGAGCGGGCTGTAACTACGTTGGAGCGGGCACCCGTGACATCCCCAAACGAGTGAATCAGGAATGAGTGTGAAGCCCCTATCAAAGAATCTGTCTTTTAAATTCTTAGCCTTTTCTCCTTTGCATTCTCATTATTCCCTGCCCTCCTTTCAACTCTTCTAAACTTGGGTTCTCTGATCTGGAGAACTTCTGGGGAGTTCAAAGAACGGCCTTACCAGCACAGAATAAACCAGCACTGGCAGGAAGGGGCACTCTCTCCTCCTCCTCACTCTAGAAAGGAACACGGGCTCTTTCCTCGTGGCCATCTCTGTCATCCATAAACTATTCCTAGTTTGATAGAATGTTCCGTCTTTTCTCAAATGAGTATTTGCCAAATACTGTTGCTCCCATTTCACACCACAGAAGGTTACCTGAGAGCTGCCCTCTGCAGTTATTCAACTACTACTTTTGGTCCTCCATGAACAGGGATGCTTGTCAACGGTTCCTGGAAATCATTTCTCCATCTTCACTGTTACTTCCACTGCCTTTCCTAATCCTCCTCCCACACAAACACTCCCAGCAGATGATGCTAATTGCTCTTTGCAGCCAGCAAACTAGCTCTGCCGGGATTGGCTTTTCTTCCACTGCAGTACAGAAACCCAAGGACACGAGTAAGGCCATGCTCAGTGACAAAGACCCGTTGGAACTGGTGTGTGCCTCTGTGACAGGCCCTTGTTGCTGCAACAGATCACATGCTCTTGAACACTTGGCTTATTACCCTGTGGTTGACGCCTGGTTTCTTTTGTCTCTCGAGGCAGGGGAGGGGTTAACCACAGATTCCTGGTTACAAAGTAGTTGTTGTTCATCTGACGACCCTGGCCTGAGATGGTAGTCATCCATGCCTCGGTTCGATGGTCTGGAGCGGTAGTTCTCAATTGTTTCCTCACTTTGAAACAAGTGATCAGTGACGTTTCACGCATCACATCTTCCCAGCGGCATACACAGGGTTATAATAGCAGTGACACTGACTCCATCCCTTTGCCTTCCATTGGATGAGAAAGTGTACCGGATGCAAGCTGAGCAAGAGTGACATTAATACAGAAATAATCTGGAATTGCTTGCTGTAATTCATAAAAAAAACTTTGGTATTCTAATGGTAAAAAAAGTAAGATGACATGTGACATACTTCACAAGTGAATGCATGTCAACATCATTTCTTTTTTTTTTTTTTGAGACAGGGTCTTATTCTGTTGCCCAGGCCGGAGTGCAGTGGTGTCATCACAGCTCACTTCAGGCTCAAGCGATCCTCCTGCCTCAGCCTCCCAAGTAGCTGGGACTACAGGCATGTACCACCACACCCAGCTAATTTTTCTATATTTTTGTAGACACGGGGTCTCACTCTTGTTCAGGCTGATCTCAACCACCTGGCCTTAAGCAATCCTCCTGCCTTGGCCTTCCAAAGTGTTAGGATTATAGGCATAAGCCACCATGCCCAATATCTTGTAATAATCTGGAGAACTGTGATCTAGATATTACGGTTATTCTCAGGTTTTAATCACAGTGTGAAAGCACAAGATACTAGAGAGCAAGAGAGTGGATACCAAGAGATGGCAAGAGAGAGCCCTGTATGGGTTATTTATATAGTACACCCAGTGCCAGTTAGATTAAAATAAAATGCATAGTTGTTTTTTGGAGGCTATTGAAGGAAATTAGGGAATTTTGTAATGAGGATGTAGAAAACATAGTACGTATATATTTGGTGAGTTTTGAAAACATCCTCAAACCAAATGGGCCAAATGGATTCACCTCCAAAAGGGTAAGGACTTTGTCTTGTTAAAACTTTTTTTTAACATTCTTATTTTTTTTTAATTTCAAAATATTAAGGGGACACAATGTTTTGGGTTACATGAACACTTTTGTAATGCTTGAGTCCTGGCTAAAGGTATGCCCATCACCCAGATAGTGTTCATGGTACCCGTTAGGTAGGTTTTTGCCCCTCCCCTCCTCCTCCTTCCCCCTGGTTGATTTCCACTGAGTTTTACTTCCCCCTGTGCACATGTGTGCTCATTGGTTAGTTCCAATTTAATAGCAAGTACATGTGGTATTTGTGTTTCCATTCTTGAGACACTTCACTTAGGACAATGGTCTCCAGT